ACGTCGCTTCAAAATTAGAACGAAACATGCCAGCAGCAGAAATAGAACCTCGCACGTGTCATTCATTTTTCGTTCGTAAATAGCGGCTTACCAAAGGTCACTGACTAATGGCAGCCCTTAGCCCGTGCTAACAACTGGCCCTCCCTGTGCGTGGACGCAATTGGGTCTAGCCGAAATGCAAATATGCTAGATAAGCCTAAATCAGCTTAAATCTTAGCCCGTACTTCGTGTAACGTGAACACAACTATAGTTTGGTCTGTACATGTAAGGGTGGGGATATCATAGCATAGAGTGGTCAAGGTCATATATGCATACAAAGTAACCATACAAGTCTGATAATCACTTAATAAGAATGTAGACAAAAATATGGAAGTTACTCGTAATGATTCTTTAAAGAAACAATTTAAAGGAATTCAAAAGTAGGTGTAATGTAAAGATGATAATTTGACATTTCTAGACTATTGTGGAGAAGACCCATGAAACAATTGGATTAACCACACTATCAATGAATACTGGTACACATTGCTGTAGATTAAAAAGATTACTATTCAAATTTTAGTAGCCTGGTTATTAATATTTATTGCGGTTTAAGCCCAACTGAGAATAAGAACTTATTTAAAAAGTCAGTACAGCGATAGCAAAAAACATTATGCAGGAACGAGGTTCTGCAAGCACTTTGTTCTAGACCCGAATCACAAACATTGTCTTACCTCTGAAAGTGCCTCGATTTGATGCAAAATCATTGGTTTATTACCAAACTCCACAAGAGGCTTAGGTCTGCTTAAGGTCAAAGGTCGTAACCTTGTCCCAAACCCTCCAACAAGAATCAATGCCTTCATCTTATAGGTAATTTATTTCTAGCCTAGATGAAATAAAAAACAAAACAAAAATACATACATGTATAAATATACTGCACTGATGATTGAGCTGAAATAGTAGAGGTGACAGAACTTGTGAGAATAACAATTGTATTTTAACACATGAATAGCACTGTGCAATGGTTAAAATGAATCTGAATTGCTTAGAAATGTGGTGTGTATTGTTTATGACCTTCCAAACATATCAGATCTGACAAAAAACAAAAATATACTAATACTACCGGTAATGACCAATACTAATACATATGTGAAAAACGGCTGTCAAACAGCCATCTCGGATGAGAAAAATACTGTACATAGTTTATAGACCTTTGGAATGGTCAAATGACCTGTTCCTACAAGCCTGAAAGCAGATGTACTAGCAAATCAAGTTTCAGACTTTGGCCATGGGTTGTGGAAAGAATAATTCAAATGGGAAACAAATTTATTTCCAGAATAAATATTACAAAGAAAAACAAAATTTATATTGAAAAGCAGCACAAACAACAATGTCTCATGATTGACAGAATCCCACAAATTGACAGCTTTCCCTTTAAAAAACAATTTGTTACAATTACTTTAAAACCATGCTTCAATATGATATCAGATATTCGTGTTTACTGAATGGGTGCTATCTGATTCAAAGTGCAAATAAACAACATAAAACACCTCATAGGGGGTCAGAAGTATGATAAAGCTTGATGCAAATGCAACCTTGGATGATGAGGTTTCAATGCCTGGAAAATAAAAACAGCAAGCTGTGCAAGAGTTATAACAACAGATTACCATTGCAAGTGGTACCCTATTAGTAATGATATTTTATATCGGTAAATTTTACAGCCATACTGACAACAGGTGCTGCACAGTGCATAATTACATGACAGCATTAGTATTCCACTTTTATTTTTTGTGAAATTCAAAACACACGAAGGCAATATGATTTATATGATGAAGGTATGCAAGTGTGTATTATGTGATGAAGATGTTGCATGAAATTTATAGTAGTCATGCGAATTTTGAGATGATCCCAAGATCACGTGATGCACCTACAATGTAATGTGTGTGTTTTGTGTTTTTTGAATGCAAATATATTCGCATTTCTGTTTATGCAATGAAATCCACTGTGTTCTATGATGCTGATTGGTTAGAAATGCGTTCCATTCAGAGTTGGATCGATTTGATGCTTGCAAAGTGTGAGATATCACATGGCATATAACCGTATATTCTTATGTAACTTATCAATCCTTAGTCATAATCATAATGTGGTTTAAGATGATATTAATTAACCTATCATGCCATTATAATATACTATAAATTATCAAAATTTCTGACACATCTCACCAGGGTTCACAACGAGTTACAACGGCTTCGAAAAAAATGTAAGCACCACATCATACACAGCAAATATGTTGGTGCTTGTGATACTCACAGATTTATCAACATGTTTCTAAAAAAAACTTTTAATAAGAACTGTCTAAAAATTATAATGTCCCATATTTTATTTTGTTTTCTCAGCCTAATATCAATATTTGCAATTTATAATCTATGCCAAATACCCATCCCATCATAATATATTGATTTAGCACTGTTGACAGGGATGTAATTGGGTTTGCACATCGTACAGAATGACACATTAAAGAAATTAACTAACTGTTATTATATTATTATTGTATTTATACACTGTATGTAGACTGGACTATTGAAATACAGTTTATTTTTACCAATAGACACATCACAGTCAATTACATAATACACAACAAATAGAGTAGTTTTTATAGACTGCATGAATGTGACATCACCAAATGAGTTTTACAACATTCCCTTATAGAATTTTCTATGGGACTGTATAAAAGTTGCATGTATTGTAATACTATTCTCCAATTCTGTTGATTAATTTCCATGGTAAAGTGCATGTACATGATGCAACACGTACATCATATAATTTGCAAAAATTTGCATATGACAATCAGTGTCTATCTTTAAGGGTAAATGTAATACCAGTTATATTAATTAATATAATAAAGTAGAATTACTAAATAAAGTACCAAATATTAATTAATAGTATCAATTACCTTAAACAATTAAACACACATTAATTTACACAATTCAACTCACCAGAACTAAATGGTTGTTATTCACAAGAAGAGACGGGCATCCAAAGACAATTACAAAAGTAGTGGAGTTTAGAGCATGAGCAAGCTGGTGTTGCTTACGTGGTCATACAACTGTGGCGTTTAAATATTACCATAAAATAATAATACAATGGAACATTCCATTTAGCTTTGAGGTGAGATAGCCTCGCTGGTATTACAGGTAAACAACTTGAATACAATTGCATATTATAGGTTTGTCAGCTACCAACCATCTGACAACAGATTAAAAGTTACACACAAACCATTTACACATCCCCTCTAAATAATGCCACTCGCTATAATGTTGGAACATGGAGCTAAAAACAGATGACCGGGGTAAACAAGGCCATCGGTTGTTGATTGCAATGATTCATTCACTCAATGAATTTGTGATTTCCGTCCACTGCACGCCCACAACTCGACGTACTGCTGACAAGTCAGAGTGTATTTTTCGTTATATACAAAATGCTTGAAATTCATAACGAAATTAAAATGAATTTAATAAAAAGAGTACCTACCTTTAATGAGCATCAGTCAACAAGTGCCAACTTGGCAAGTGCACATGCAAAACTACCAAGGTGAAAGATCAGTCTAACGAGAAAGGTCAAAGTTTTTCTCGTCTTGAAATCTCGAATAACCAGACATCCCGGGATTTGGAAGCAACCATTCACTACAGAGGGTTGGTTTCATTTATCATCCGATTTTTAAGCCTTAAAGAGGGAGTTTCTCTCTGTAAAATACATTTAAAAGAATAGAAATTAATGAAATAGTTATAATACAATAAATTTGGAACACTTGCAAATTTTCACGAGGAATATCAATAAATGAAACCCTGTAGCATCAATGGCCTTCCCACTTTCATCAAATATGTGAATAACCCAGTCTACTTCCGCGTTTTGGGAGTCCTTGAATCTGATTGTTGACTGCTCTGGAAATACCCGATTTCGGGACCTCTGTGGCGACTTTATCATCACCGATTTTCTGCAAACAGTAGCGTGGAGATTCACGTTAAAAACTGACGACATTCTTTCCGTGTTTTGGCTGTTGTTTCGGTCGAATTCGACCATGTCGGCGCCCGAAGGAGTGAAGGCCGGGTTTTACAAAGTTGAGCTGAACAAGACGGTTTGGGTTGTGCCCACAAAATATCAAGCTCTTAGCCCGGTGGGCTCTGGAGCTTATGGGCAAGTTTGGTAAGTCTAGCAATATAGCATGTATTTGTATGTCATTTATATGTTGCATAAATACTATAGTAAATAATTTTAAAAGTAGAAATGCTCATTAATGGGATCACGTTCCAGACAGGTTTGCATTTCTTCGATAGAAAACGAGAATAATTACTACTGTAGATATTTCCATTGCATGTCATGATGTGACGTCAGTGTCACATCTCCTCAAGACATTCTACTTGAAGTTATTATTTCAAGAAGAAATTTTTGGGAGACTGCAGTTATTTTTATTGTTGATATGCCAACAAAACTATAAAACTACAGAACATTCCTATACCAATCACAATGCCTACCCATTATAGTTCCATGACCTACCGAACTCAAAGTAGTGATCATTGTGCCAAAACTACCTGTGTTTTCACAGTTTTCATTTTTTTGGTGAGTGAAATCAGCCAGTTTTTTGAGTATCCTTCTCAGGATACAATGTAGATGACAAAAAACAAGGGAGATAGAGAACAACGTGTGAAATTGCAGTCAAAATACCGAACATGAACAGACTATGTGTATACTAGCTAGTACCTGTATATATATATATATATATATATATATATATATATATATATATAGGCACTTTGCTTGTGGGTGACTGTAACTTCTACATAGCTGCCTAGATCTGTGCAACAGTGTTTGAAATAATCTCAGCATGCTAGTAATCAAGAGGCTGTCATGATCAGATGCATTATGCATGTTAGTTTGGTAACTGGGTAGCTGCTGGCGAAATTTCAAATTGGCTGTCAAATTTTAGACAATGTGCAAAAATTGCTGAATCAATGCACTCTCTGAATGCCAATAGTCTTGATTGATCAGGATTTTGTTGTCATTATTTGTTGCATTAATTCTTTGATAACTGTGTTACAAATACGCATTTAGAACTGTCTGAACTGTTTTGAAAAAAAGCTCTACATCATACAAAAAGATAATTGCATACCCCACAAATGTGAGGGTAGGGCTGGGTCATCATGGCATATATGTCACAGTATAAAAAATCTAATATAGATGAATTTGTGTCAAATAAACAAGCATCTTTGCAAGACAGCATAACTGGCCTTTCTTGATAGTCAAGATATGTAGTTTACATAGCAGTATTGTTTTCCCTCATTTCCTAAAATTTGTTTTCTGTGAATTTAGGCGGTAATATTATTTAATTGTGTATTCTTTTTCAGCTCAGCATATGACAATAGTCTTAAGATGAAAGTAGCAATCAAGAAACTGGCTCGGCCATTCCAGTCTAAAATACATGCAAAGAGAACATATAGAGAACTAAAACTACTCAAACATATGGATCATGAAAATGTAAGTTGTCTGTCAACTATCAGAACCTGTTGGCTACTCTGTCAAATATCAGAACCTGTTGGCTTCTCTGTCAACTATCAGAACCTGTTGGCTACTCTGTCAAATATCAGAACCTGTTGGCTTCTCTGTCAACTATCAGAACCTGTTGGCTTCTCTGTCCACTGTCAGAACCTGTTGGCTTATCTGTCAAATATCAGAACCTGTTGGCTTCTCTGTCAACTATCAGAACCTGTTGGCTTCTCTGTCAACTATCAGAACCTGTTGGCTTCTCTGTCAACTATCAGAACCTGTTGGCTTCTCTGTCAACTATCAGAACCTGTTGGCTCTCTGTCAACTCTCAGAACCTTTTGGCTTCTCTGTCAACTATGTTACTGTGCCCTGACTGCAACAGTATTCTGTACCTAACGTCTAATTTGGATAATGCTCTCAGATTCCTATATTAGTGTACTCCCTGGCCTAAGCAGAATCCACAACTGCAATGCATGATGGGATACTGATTATTGGTAATCAAAATATGCAATTTTTCCATTAATATACAACTCATGAACACCATCACATTGAGATTTTTTCACCCAAAATAACTCAAAATTTAAGACTTCAACAAAATGTTGCCGTGAATACATTGTACAGCATTTAATGTGTGACGTTAACTTTCTTATTTTAGATCATTGGTTTGGTTGATGTTTTTTCTCCAAGTTTGACATTTAATGATTTTGACGATGTGTACCTTGTAACACATCTGATGGGAGCTGATCTTAATAACATTGTCAAATGCCAGAGACTAACAGACGACCATGTACAATTTCTAGTCTACCAAATACTAAGAGGTCTCAAGGTAAGGACAAAGGTCAAATGATAAGTAGTTAACCTATGATGTCGCGATTGATCTTTCATAGTGATGACAGTTAGTCCAATAGTTTTACTACACTTTTCCATAGATTAAAGTAATATTTAGTAACTGTTCAGACGCAGTCGAAAACAGGGGCTTAAGGGTTGGTCCATGTGTGTGTGCAAACTTTCATATCCAGCCATGTCATGCATACTTCACACATACATCAGACTTTACATTACACATATGCACATGCATTTGACTCATGATCCAATTGAAGATGGCAATTTTAAACTTCACACATGCATAAGAACTAAGATCATATCTCGCATCTATTCTGCAAACGGGGACTATGTCGTTGACAATGACTTGTTCACATCATATTTCATTTGTATCATAGAAATAATCATTTGTAAGGGCAGGACTGACAACATTTGCAGACTTGTATCCTCTGTACAGTAGTGAGTGAAATCTGATCAAACATGACATTTATTTAAATTATTTTTATTTGCTATGTAGTATGTGCATTCAGCTAACATTGTGCATAGAGACCTTAAACCAAGCAACATTGCTGTTAATGAAGACTGTGAATTAAAAGTGAGTATCGAATTATTGTCATACTAACATTTTTGAATAGAAAGACGTACCGTACTTATCCGGGTAAGAGCCCATGCCTGAACAAACGCCCACCCCCCACTTTTGACACAATAAAGAAGTTGAGGTCATATCCGGGCACACGCCCAGGGGTCTTTTACTACACAAAACAAAAAAACTATTTTCTATTCGTTGACTGTGGTTGTATTAACAGTTGACTTTCTTGAAGTCTGTCATGATACTTCTCTTTTTGAAATATGCCGTGGCCCTAAAAAGGGACGGCCGTTTTGTTTGTGCTTCCTTAGAAACGATTCAAGCAAATCGTACAAGGAGAGTCGCTAAGCAAGTGTCGTACTAGTTCGGCTTTAGCGTCGTCGACAATGAAAACAATGTTGCAATATTGTAGCAACCCGTACCTGGGAGAATGGTTGAAATCACGTTATTTTGGCTTTATAAATATTTTGTAGCAGCTTGCGAATCCATAACTTGGGCCAGCAATTTTGCAATGTCACGCCGAAGACTGCCAACTTTTTTACCATCTTTTATCACCGCTATTGCATTTCTGTCATGAAAACTATTCTTCTGTCCTTGGATAAAAGAAAACTTCCTATTTCAAGTCCCCCGCGATATCCATATAGTGAGACATTCCTACCGACGGAACTTGCTGAATG